ACTTCTGGTTGAACGTAGTCTCTGGTAGGGTCTTACAAAGAGGGAGATACAGTATATTGATGTGTAACTTAGAATTGGCACAGCGTTTTTGCAAGTTACCCTCATACAGTAATTGACAGCAGGCCATGACCAGAGACAACGTATCAAAGATAAAATACAGGGAACACCCACGCAGTGTGCAATCACATGGCTTATACGATCAGATGCTACTGGCGAGCATCCTCTACATCCTTTTGTAGTTGAAGGGCGTTTGATGTTATGTCTATGCAGAATCTGGTAAAACTACAGCATGCACTTGGTGCATCAATCCCAAATTGATTTACAGTAAATACATCTCGTAGAAGTACATGATCGTGGTTCACAGGAATCACGCAACATACTTTTCGTGGTGACGTTTGTCCCCCAGCTTCACAAACAGTTTATTTCACAAGATTTTTATAGAGCTGGCTGTAAAACAAGTGCAATTGGAGCATGTAAACACTGGATCTTTCTTTTCCTGGCTGTGGAGATGAACTGGATGGTGTGGAGTAAAAATATATGAAAATAAACTTCTTTTTTTTAAAACTCAGGTCATGCAAAACAAAACCTACAAAGTGTGGACAAAGTAATGAGTACGACCAACTAAAGTTCTGGCTGCAGTGAGGAGCCCCTCGGCCTGGTTCTGGTTGCCGTTAAAAAATGTGAAGACTGTTGTCAGCAGAATATAACAAACATCTATCTATATATTTATTGATTAGTGTTAGCTAAATGTAACTGAAACAGTTTATATTTGCTACAGTATGTAAAAGAATGTCTCTTTTCTTTTTACCATTAGCCAACGACATCCTCAACTAGCTAAAAATGGTTGCTACAATCCAGCACAGACTTCTGCAACTGAGCGGCTACACTTGGGCAATAGGCTAAGTGCCTTGCTCAAGGGCACTCATCACTGTCTTATTGAGGAACAGGAAATAAAATAAAAAATAAAAACTCCCCACTCGCCCTCTTAAGGCAACCCTGCTCCTCCGTTGTAAGCCAGCTAGCCTAGCATGCCCTTTTGTTTTCCGAGAGGACTCGTGGACAACCGAGCGATTTGTCGACGGCTGAGGTAAATGCAGCGAGTGGACGGTGCTGAAATCTCCAGCAGAACCTAACGTCCATTTGGGCAGAGAAATGGGGAGTGCTCGACCACAGAATTCCACATTTGCTCGAAGCGTACCGGAGCGTACCGCAAAGTACCGGCGTCTTTGACAGCGTTAGCTTTAGAAACTCCCTCACTGCAACTGAACTTTAATTTCTTCATTATTTTGTTCACATCGTGTATTTCTTGTGTTTTTTTATTTTTTATTTTTTTTAGGTTTCGTTTGCAGAAGTATGCCAATGCAAGAGAAGCTGTCCATGCCTTTAGCAGTGAGGCTAGCTGGTATTAAGAACTGCCATGTTTTTGTTCATGCATTAAGAACTATTAAGTGAAAGATATCATATTTACAGTACAATTCACATGTAATTACACATATACACTAGAGGCAAGAAAATTCACATTGAAATCAGTTCAACACTTCACCCCCCTTCCTTGACTACTTCAACATATGCGTCAAAAACGTTTATTTTTTCTCCTTTGAGTAAAGAAATACACTAAAAAAAGAAGCTTCCAACAGAATATTCTCATAGTCTTCTGAGATGAACGTGCTGATTTCATGTCCAGAAAGCAGGTAACATGTCCAACGACAAATATATTTACGATGAGAAAACATGAGCTGCTAATGTTTCTCCTCTTTGTGTTTGGCGTTTTTAATTCAAGAGCTCTACCATCTAAAAAGCACAATACCTGAAGAGGCATGTCTGGATTCACTTCTTGGAATAAACCAACCTGAATAAGACTTGGATACTTGAGTTCATTTACGTTACAAAACATATATTTTAAGTGCATTTCATTGAGACTCAAAAGGTAGGCTTTAGGTTTTCACTCAACACAATGAAAGGTGCTTGTTTTGCTGCAGAACTAATATATCTAATAATCCATCTGAACGTCACAAGCTGTTGGTACGCAGAGTTCGATGAACTAATGCAAATCAACAACTTGTATTCATTTGTATAAATTAGCAGTAACTGCTTTTATATATATTTATTTATTTAAGGATATTATGGGAATAAGAATGTAAGTGTGCACATTTGAAGCAGCTGTAACTCAAAGTCCACTATCCACAAATGTACATGAATTGGATCTACCATCCATAAAATAATCAACATTTGGGAAACTGAACTGAATTCCTCTCTTCAGCTAACCAGTGAAAAGAGAGCCACGTCTGTTAACGATGCCATCTGAGCATCTCACAAACGAAAACTTCTGCGGTCAGAAGTTTGAATTGCAGCATACGTATCGCGGGAAAGTGGAGTTAAGACAGGTTAAAGGGGAACAGCATCGTGAAGATCAGCTCACAGGTGTCGGGAGTTGCTACTGCACACGTGAGAGCAGCTGTGGAAAACTTTCATGCCCCGGGTGAAGTTGTTTGGTTGAGTTTTACCAGAAGGTGGCAAAGGATTTTAAAGGAATATAACAAATAAAAGACAAAATACCTCTGTTTTCTGATAGTGTCAGTAAAGTGCTCTGAATTTTAAAATCTGCTGTTTGAGTTTTAAAGTCAAAGACATGTTTGTTTCTATGTTTACTTATCAATTCATTTCCATCTAAGTCAAAATAGCTCATTTCAGCACTGTCGCCTGTTACAGTACAATGCTGAATATTTAATTTACAACACAAAAGCTTGGAGAAGATTAAATGTATAGGCTTTTTGTGATTCCCTGTCACACTGAAAGCCTTTTCTACTATAAACTTCCTGCTGCAGATACAGACCAAAAAAAAAAAAAAACTGTTACGTGTCATCATAATAAAAGTTTATTTTTATGGATAAAGATTATCTTTCGTCTGCTGCTGCTTGAAAATTCTGACAATTCTGCATGAAACTTAAACAAAAAGAAATACTGAATGCAAACCACAGCTCAGCACTACAAACTTCACTACGACTTAGAGAGACACATTAGTTTTTGATCAGTATTCCCTTTGGAAGGAAGCTCATGCATACCCTGTGCTCCAGAGGACAATGCCTCTTCATCCTCATCTATTTTATTCTTTCTCTCTGCAGCTCTCCACTTTTATTAATTTTTCACGTGCTTGGACTATTTCCTCCTTCTTTCTCTGTCTTTAATGGTCACAAGGCTGCAAACTCTGCAAGTTGGCGTGCACATATGTCAAACTCAAGAGCCGCGGGCCAAATCTGGTCCTCCAAGATGATAATTTAAATGTAAAATAAAGTATCTCTTCTATTTTTTTCTTTAAAAAATCTGATAAATACATAATTTAGTCTAGACTTCTCTTACCAGCTGGCTAACTTTGAAGCCAGAAAGAAGGCTGGATCATTCTACCATTATTGATTCTGATATGTAAATAGCAACAGAACATCAATTGAGACAGATCAAAC